GATTTTTATTAAAAAATTTTAAATTTTTATTTATGAAATAATAAATTGTTAAATTAATTTATTATTAAATATTTAATTCTAATATAATATAATTAACCCATCACACCTTCACCATCCCTACCGCTCCGGCGACCGTTCCGGTCACCGCTCTACTCCGGCGAACTTTCCGGTGGCTGTCCGGCGACTGTTCCAGCGAAATTTTGTAGGTCACAGATTATAAGAATTAACAAAAATTATAGGTCACGATTTTTTCAAGGTCACGATTATAGGTCACAATTTTTTTATTGGTCACAGATCAAAAATTTTGTAGGTCACAAATTATTTCGAAATCACAAATCAGGTCACATATTATTTTATTGGTCACGGATCAAAAAATTACATGTCACGGTTATCTATCAGTCACATATTTTCAAATTTATTGATCACAAATTAATTTTTAGTCACAATTTTAATGTCATAGTTAGATTTTTTTTGTGACCACCCCCAATTTCTGTGACCGCCCCCATCACAGATTAATTTTTAGTCACAATTTTAAGGTCACGACCACTGAATTCTGTAACCACCCTCGTGACCACCATCGACTTCTGTGACTACTCTCGTGACCACCACATGGCTTCTGTGACCACCCCCGTGACCATCCTTGTGACTACCACCTCATGAGTCATCACTGCCACCAGCCACGTCGCCTTCGCTGCCATCACCAACTCAGATTCGACCACACCCACCACACACAAAGCAATACACCACTTACCATGACCTCCAACAACCGTCACCACCACAAAACCGCCCCCCGCCACCGCCAAAACCCCCACCACCACACCACGACGCCCGCAACACACCACCACCACCACCATGACAGCCAGATATACCAAAAAACCACTACGCCTCAACACCACCGTACGCACGGCACACACCACGGAACACAACAACCGCACGCACATCACCGCACGCAATCACCACGGCCACCAACATCACCACCTCACCATCATCACCACCACCACCAAACCAGATTTGAACCTACACCAGCACCACCGCCACAATAGATTGAATAAAAAAAATCCCAAAAAATGAGGTGGCGTTGTATATTCCACCGCGTGGGGCTTCGATTGAATAAATCGGCAGCGAAAAACGCCATTGAACGATGGAGTGTAGTTGAAACTTGGATTTGCGAGCACGAAAACGTTGTACAGATTCTTAGGGGTGTCGTTGAAGAAGAGTTTGCAGAGGGGTGCAAAGGGAAGAGGAGTGTTAGTTCGGCAGCAGAGCTCGCAGCGACAACGACCAATTTTTTGCAGCTGCGTCGGGCTCGCAGCAGCCTTGCCCCGCCGTTCAACGCTGGAAGGGTGGGGTGGAGGATCAACGGCAGTGGGTAGAGAGAGTGTGTGTGTCAAAGTAAGAGAAGATAGATAGAGAGAGTGGTTATAAAAATGAAAGAGGGTTTGTTATTTATTAAAATATTTTTTAATTAAA